CAGTGGAGCGTGTGACTCTTGATCTTGGGGTTGTGGGTTTGAGCCCCATGTTGGGTGTAGAGATTAATTAAAAAACAAAAACAAAAACCCCAAACTGAAAAAAACACAATGAAGCTACTTCCATTTAAAAAAAGGTTAGGACCTAGATATATAATTATTAACATGGAAAACATTCACCGTATATAATGTGAAAAACAGGTTACAAACAGTAACATCTTTGAAAAAATTTATTTCTAGATATATATGTATATAGAAAGTATCTTGGAGACTATACACCAAAATATTAAGTTTTTATCTCTGGTGATAAGATGATATTTTTCTTTTTACTTATTTATGTTTTCTAAAATGTAACATAAGGTATTATTTGCTTTATTTTCTTTTGAATATAAAAAAGGAAAAAAATTTAAAGGCCAAAAAAATTTATTAACTTGTGTGGTCAAGTTAGAGCCTTGAAATGGGGAAAAAAATCAGAAAGTGACTTACTGCATCTTTTGAATCTCATCTTCATCCACTTTTTGCTTCTTCTCTTTCTTTTCTTTGGTATCTATTTTCATTTTTTTGGCTGCAGGAGTAAGTAAAGATGAGTCTTCCCTTTCAACTGCTGTTAAATCTGAGATGTCCTGACTCTTGAGCTGAGAAGATGAAAAAAACCCCATTATATACGTGGCCTACTTTCCAGACTTGGGTAAGACCTCATTCTTATTACAACACAACAAACCCATTATTCAACAGTTTTTTTGTTCCAAACACTGGCCGTATCATCATTATGTGTAAGATACACTCTCCTAAAGAAGTTTATAGCCCAGCTGTGGAAGGAAAACAAGCCAAATAATCCAGTGTTCCAGTTTAGCTATAATCATAGCTCTAGTATGTTTACAAAGGAAATGATATGCCAAGGATCATGAAAACCACTCCCCCCCTTGAGCCCACTTTCCTGACCTCATTCTTTAGAGGAGATGTCAGAAAAGTCCTCTCCATCCAGCCAGCTCTTCTGCCTCTAAATCTATAGATCTCTTTATTGCTGATGATTCCATCTGGAAAGAATATTAAAAAGGAGGTACCTTCTCATCAAAACAGTGTTTCTTTGAATTTGGAACTTTTAATCATTTTTTTTAAGTAACCTCTACCCCCAGCATGGAGCTCAAACTCATGACCCTGAGATCAAGAGTCACATGTTCTACCAACTGAGCCAGCCATGCGGCCCTGGATTGGGAACTTATAAGTGAGCTTCTCCCACGTGTAGTGCTCTTTTCTTCCTGTCTCTCAATTCTACTGTATCATGCAAATATTTATTTTTCATTGCTAGACTGAAAACTTTTTGAAGATAGGTTTGTCTCTTATTTCTCTCTCCCCACATAAGCATTTAGCATAGGTTTACTCATGCTAGATGTTTAATGTCTATTTAATAGCAATTAAAATCAAAATCCAAACTTCACCCCCTCTACCTTAATATAAAATCAAAAGACACAACAAACCTCATTAATGGGATTTAACCTCTGTTTTCCCTAAAGTGGAACTCATATAAACACATACAGGAATATGAGGGGGGTAGGTGAAAGTGAAGGCAGTATACCTTTAAAAAACTTTTCAATTTCTTTCTAGTTACCTATTTAATACAAGTTTTCTAACCTCTCCGTGCTTAAGTTTTGGTGATTTATATTTTCCCTAAAAATAAGTCATTTTTCTTAGGTTTTCAAATTTATTTAGCCTAAACTTGAACATCAAATATTTCTGGTTTGTTCTGTTCTTTTATTTATTTATTTTTTTAAAAAGATTTTACTTATTTATTTGAGAGAGAGAGAGAGCACAATCAAGGGGAGGGAGAGGAAGAAGCAGGCCCTCCGCTGAGCAGGGAGCCTGACGTGGGGCTGGAATCCAGGACCCCGGGATCACGACCTCAGCTGAAGGCAGATGCTTAACCTACTGGGCCACCCAGGTGCCCCCGTTCTGGTTTTTTTTCTGGTTTCTTGAGTTGGGTGCTTATTTTCAGCATCTCGTTAATAATAAAAATATATAAAGCTATGAAATTTTCTTTAAATAAGGTTTTGAAAGTCCACAGAATTTAATGTAGCGTTCTCTTTATTTCTTTAATCTAAGGGCTAGTTAAAAAATAGTTTAAGATATCCAGATGCTAGTTTTTTGGGAGGAGTGGGGGTGGGGAGAAGCTTTTTTTGGTTAATTTTAGGTCTATTGCACTATACTAACAGGATGTGGCCTGTTTTGATTTCTACTTTTAAGAATTTGTGTTTTTCTTTGTGGTATGGTATATAATCTTTTTTTTTTTTTTTTAAGATTTTATTTGAGAGGGAGAGACAGGGAGCAAGTGAGAGCCCAAGAGCAGGGGCAGGGAGCAGCAGGCTGCCCACTGAGCAGGGAGCCCGATGCGGGGCCCGATTCGAGGATGCTGGGATCATGACCTGAGCTGAAGGCAGCCGCTTAACGAACTGAGCCACCCAGGCACCCCTATATGATCAATTTTTAAAGAGTGTTTCAGATAAAAAAAAAACAAACTATCTTCTGCTGGGTGCAAATTTCTGCATGTAGTGAGCTCCTTATGGGACTGAGCCGATTATTCAAATCTTCTCTGTCCCTCAGATCTGTTTAAAGGTTCCTTCTTAAAATAGTTTCATCACATTTTTCTTTTTCTAAAAGTTCTTACTTTATATGTTTTGATGCAACTTAATGCTCTGAAAGGCTTTCTATTTAATCCAATGTCCTCCCCCATGATCCCTTTAAGTCCCTAAGAAACTCTAAGACTCCAAGATTCTATCTCTAGAAATGGAACCGAGAGAACACTGAGATTCTGGTCCCCCGACTGATGCTCAGTTAGGCAACACTGCTGAACTCTTCGGGTGGCACAACTGATGGGTTTGGTGTATTTATGCTATAGAGACCCTTGGACATTAGCATCCAGATCACTGGTAGTAGTTAAATGTCTGAAGAGGGTAGAAACGTGGCTAATCCAGTAACTCCCTCAAAGTCTTCCTTGAACGATTCTGCAGTGTATAATGACAAAGTTATGCTTGAGCAACATCTAGGAGAAACCATATATCGGTCAAAGGGGTACTAGGAATCCTGGGTTCTAGCTCTTGCACTAAGTCTTAGTGTGACATTAGATCCCAATTTCCTCACCAGGAAAACCAAGAGGCTATGTCAAAGTCCCTTAAGGGCGCCTGGGTGGCTCCGTGAGCAGAACATGCCGCTCCTGATTTCACGGTCGTGAGTTCAAGCCCCACCTTGGGGGTAGAGTTTACTTAAAAAAAAATTCTCTTAGAAGTAGCTTTGATATCTAAGGGATTAAAAGTATTAACCCAATGGCTGGATGTCTAGAACCGAACCAGCATTATAGCTTTGTCTCCTCCCTCTCCCCACCCACCTTCGCAGATCTAAAGGGAGTCATGGTGAGTTCCAGTTATCTTAGATTGGCAGGGACCAACCAGAAAGCCGGTCCAGCAAGCACTAACAATCTCTGGCCTCATCAACACTTCTCTCCCTACCTCGCCTTCTTCGGCCGTGGCTTCTTTCAAGTCCCCATCTCCGTCCCCGTCAGTTTCCTCCGGGATTCCGTCCGTGTCGGTAGCGCCGGGACCCCCGGGAGCAGCGGCCGTTTCATCTGACTCCCCTGTCTCTCCTCCTTTTTCCGTGGGCGACTCGCAGGCATTATCCATAGCAGCAAGAAAAAGAGGGGAGAGATCGCAGTCCTGTCAGACTCTAAAGCTCCCGACCTAGAGGAATACAGCCGCCCACAAGCTTACTTCCTGTTGTCGCGCTATGATAACATCATTCCTACGGCTCCTCGGAGGGGACAGTTTGAAGCATGCGCAGAGGACTTCAGGGCTCTTAACAAGTCTGGTTTGGTGGCGGTTGGAGAGGGTAGATTGAGGGTACAGAATTCAGTTTGTGGATTTTCCTTCCACATTGGGAAATCAGCATTTGTAAAAGACAGTTGTGTTGTTTACTGAAGGACTTTCCCCCCCTCCTTTCTGCCTTCCTAAAAACATAGTTAACTCCTTAATCCGCTTTCTTCAGAGTAAAGTTTTAGGGACGGGAGAAAACTCAATTCAGTTGTACGCCGGTGTCGTGGGATGCGGCTATCCGGTAAACTTTTAGGCAGGGACTCAACCTCGTACATTTCAATTGGGTAGAGACCGTGGACCTGTGTGAATCGCCAGCATTTCTCTTCGGTTCCTTAAACATCCTAAAAAAAAAAAGTCATATAGCTTGAACAGAATTGATCCAATCCATTTATTCACGCCACAACTGTTGAGCGCCTACTTCGAGCTAGGAACAGTTCTAGTAGCAAAAACACATTGTTTCTACCCAATTAAGTGAGTTTTCCAATTCACCAGTACTCAAGATCGAGGTCGGTTTCACAAGCCTGACTTCTTTTGTCAGTTTTGTTAATCTCATCAAAAGTAAGAGGAAGCAAATCCTACTGGGATGGGAGGTCTTTTCTTTGCATATTTCACTTTAACGAGCCATTTCAGAGATTGGGACCATGAAGAAGTGGAGATATTTTTATTTAAAATTTTTCCTCTCTTCCCTCATTGAGGTACGGAGCGGGGCATTTTATTCACCTCTGTATCACTAGGTTCCCACATCCACCACATATTTAATTTATGCGTGCTCAAAGAATGGGCTTGGAAATGTAGGTGCGCGTTACCATATTTCTCTCTTTGTTTCTACGCTTCCTGGGTGAATTACCGTATTTCCTGTCCTGTGGGCTCCCAAAACCTTTGGGGAAGGAGCGCACTTCGGGAGGCGCATACAGGTGGGCCCCATTTGTTCCCTTCCCTCTGTACAGCGGGTAACTACAAGGCACTTTCCTCTTGCCCCTGGAGTCCTATCTCCTCAGACCCAGGTCCGTTTCCAGCAGACCAAAGCCACCTGTACCCGCCCGCCGAGCCCCGCCCAGCTAGGTGGGCAAGGGGGCGGGGCGCGAGGGCGCGGTGACGCGTGACGCCAGATCCCGGAAGTGACGCGCTCCTGGGGCGAAAAGGCGGGGGGGGGGGGTGGTGTCCCCGGCCGGTTTGGGGGGTGCGTTGCCCGGAGACGGAAAGTTTGGGAGCCGGAGCAGCCTCCGCCGCAGCCCTGGGAAGGGATTCCAGGGGGCGGCGGCCCTGGGGATGGGGAAGGAGCAGGAGCTGCTGGAGGCGGCCCGCACCGGGCACCTCCCGGCGGTGGAGAAGCTGCTGTCTGGGAAGCGGCTCTCCTCAGGCTTCGGGGGCGGCGGCGGCGGCGGCTCCTCCGGGAGCAGCGGCGGCGGCGGCGGCGGCCTGGGGTCCTCGAGCCATCCCCTCTCCAGTCTGCTCAGGTGAGTAACGCGCTGGGCCCGGACAGCCGCCTGGAGACCCCTCTCCCCCGCCCGTCTCCTGGGTCTCCAGAGAGGTCCGCGCTCCTGAGACCCCGGGCGGGTGGGTTTGCTGGGTGCCTCGGGTCGAGGGCGGGTGGCCCACGGGGCGAGGAGCGCGGGTGCGGGTCCGCGCGGAGCCGGGCTCCGGTCTCGCATCCTGACCCGGCTGCGGAGAATGGTGGGAGTGCCCGGGTGGCAGCCGCCGCCGCATGGCACAGCCCGGCTTCACCCTCGCCCGCTGTAGGGTGCCAGCTGTCGTATCTCACAAACCACTTTAGAGCAAAAGAATATTTATTTTAAATCTCCCTCACCTCCTGCAGAAACTCCCACGCTTGCAGAATCTCGCCGCTCCCCTGGAGGAAATTCTCTTGATTCCCTTCTTTTGGGAACTTGGAACCTTCCACCACGCACCGCAGGACCTGGCTTTTGTTGTTTATATTAAAATTGTGTCTGAATTTATCACATTCAGAGTGTTCTTTTAGTCCCTCTTGTGCTTGAAGCTCAAATTCTAGTTCGTTGTAGTGAGCCTCATTGGATTAGTCTGCTAATCCTGCATATGCAGGGTTCATCAAGGGGTTTATTCGTCAAGAAACAAAGCTTTAGAAAGACTGGTTTAGGAAACTGAGGGGTGCTTTAAACTTTTCTGAGATCTGTTGTTAAAATAAACACTTGAATCTGGAGCTATACGGATTGAGAGAGAAAGGTCACTTTTGCGTGGCTTGGAGGGGGGAATTGGACGTGCTTTGTCAGTGTGAGTAAAATGTGTTGGTTCAGCAGCACTTTCATTGCCTGTTTTCTTTTCCTTCCTTGTTCTTTTGAGGTTTTTAAGAAGTGGAAGTTCATTTAGAAATGGCTTCGTTGGCTTTTGTTTCCCCATTAATTTATTCAATTACTTAAATTCGAGTGAGCTTGGACCAAAGCAGCCCAAGGATCTAATAAATTGTTAGGTATTAAGCACTGGGTACAAGCCCACGTCTACACAGGAAGATTTTTTAAAAAGCGGTATAAGAGAAGAACTCTCCCCAGGAGTTCTTTTGGGGAGGTTAAAACCAGTGCTATTTGCTGCCCTTTCTCCAGCCCCTGGAACAATGCTGTCACACAGCTGGTACTCAGGATTCATTGAAAGAATAAAAGTATCAATTAGAGGATGACAGATTTCTAAATAGGCTGATGGTGGTACTGGCAGTAGTTGTTAGTAGTTCGGAGAAATGAGACATAACTTTGGGAATGAGATAGAGACCAGAGCTTCCAGGAGGGGGCCTTCAGTTCGCTTTGAAAGATGTGAGGATTTAGGTAGGTGAAGTACAGTGAGGCATTCTGGGCAAGCCCTGATCAGAGGCACAGAAGCAGGAAAGGAAACTTACCTGGTGCTAGTGGGGCACTAGAAGAACTTCCTGCCTGGAGCCTTGAGTGGTTGGGCGTGATAAAGGGTAATAATAATGAATGGGTACACTTCCATCTTTTAGATTGACTTAGTCTTTCTTATGTTTATAGCCCCAGTCCCTGGATCAGTGCCTGACAACTTACGGGTGTTCCATAGATGTACCTTTTTTTTTTTAAGATTTTATTTATTTATTGGAGAGAGACAGAGCACAAGTCGGGGGAGGAGCAGAGGCAGAGGCAAAGGGAGAAGCAGGCTCTGCACTGAGCAGAGAGCCCTGGGATCATGACCTGAGCCGAAGGCAGACGCTTAACCGACTGAGGCACCCAGGTGCCCCTCAAAAGATGTACTTTGAATGCATACATTGGGTTTCGAATCTTCCCTGGATTACTTTGGTATTTCTGCACTCTGATGTCTGAGAGATGAGAGAAAGACTATACAAGTGTGGAGGTGCCTGTCTCTATTTGGTTGAATAATATAGCATTTGGAGGGTTGCCAGAGATACCTTAACCCCTAGTATAACCTGCTGACATGAGAAACTTTCAAATATCTCCCATTTTCAAGTACAGGTCAAATTACTCTTACTGCTCACACTCAGAGACTGTTGAAATTTTGCTGAGGATTTAGCTGCCATGTAGTTAAGCAAGACTAGGAAATGTTTGTTGACCACAGTTTTTGCTTTGGGCCTCATACTAAAATGTCCAGTCTCTGTCATAAAGTGTGCATGGTGTCTCCATTTCCTTGCATAAGAGAGCTGACTCCTGACGTGCTCTTGTGTCTCTTATGGAGATGGTAGGTGGCCCAAGAACTTCCCTAGCCTCTCATCGCTGGGATTCCTACGGGCAGGGAGGATCTTCAGGCACTGGTTACACTAGGTGTGTCATTAATTAGAGGTGATTCTGGTTCAGCCTAGTGAAAGATTTCTGAGCAAATGACACTCTGTATTTAAATAGTCCGTAGGTCAGCATGTCCTCCCATTTTAGGTTTGGAAATAGTAGAGGATAGGCTCCCTATGCCCACACTCCTCACCTCCAAGGACCCTTAACAAGAGCTGTGGAATCCTAGCTTCAGATCTGGCCTTTGCATTAGCTGCCATATCTTACCCTCAGTAGTACTGCCAACTGTAACCTATGTTTGTCCAGCTGTTTGAGTGACCAAGTAAAGCTGGCTAGAATGGGAGCTTATAGTTGCAGTGGATATAAATGTTCTAAACCACATGTGTGTTTGTCTGTTCATCTATTTACGACCCCCCTCCCCTAGTTCCACGAAGGTTTTGTGTTTATTCTTAAGCTACAAAATGCTCCCTCTCAGGGCGCCTGGGTGGCTCAGTCGTTAAACGTCTGCCTTCGGCTCAGGTCATGATTTCAGGGTCCTGGGATCGAGCCCCACATTGGGCTCCCTCCTCCGTGGGAAGCCTGCTTCTCCTCTCCCCCTGCTTGTGTTCCCTCTCTCGCTGTGTCTCTTTCTGTCAAATAAATAAAATCTTTAAAAAAAATGCTCCCTCTCTCACCCCATCTCTTTATTCTTATGCTTCTTGGGCTTAGGTCTTAACTTCTTAAAGCCCTTCCTACTGACCCTAATACACACAGATCTCTCAGGCTTCTACTTCTTTGGAACCCATCATCTGGAGCATACAGTAGCTCATCAGCTCATACTTTACTTGCCTAGTTTTCCTAGTTTATTGCTTTGGCCTGTCAGTATAATGTTTACCTATAGTAACACTGACCAATTGAGAACATACCTGAGAATCAGAAAGTTAGCAAAAACTTTTAGGAAAAAAGAGTTGTTATAGACTTATTTACTGCACATTTATTCAGAGGCAGTAGAGTATAATGTTCTGCAGTCAGACTGCCTGAATTCACAGTGTGCTCCCAGCATGGACTAGCTGCTTGATTTTATACAAATTACTCAGCCACTTGGAGCCTCAATTTCTGCATCTGTAAAATAGGGACAATATTGTTTGCCTTATAGGTATCATCTTAGATACTGTGTGTAAAATACTTCCACATTTTCTAGCACATTGTAAATGCTCCCTGTTAGCCATCCTCAGTTCAGTTCAGCCCATACAGTTTTGCCATACTGCCCCTGCTGTGTACAAAGTACCATGCCAGATATATTATAAATGGTGTTCTTTCATACTTGGGTATGTGTTTTCTGGGCTATGGCAGATTGGAGACAATAAATAGGGGAGAGGGCCCACTTAGGTCGGCACGTTAGTGCTGTTCATTTATCTAGTGTTTACCTGTCATCTGCTTTGTGCCAGGCCAATTGCTAGATGCACTGTAAAATTTATCTCAGACATAGTAGGTGCTTTATCAGAATTAGCCCCTCTCCTGATGCATGGTCTGTTTCCTTACAGCATTTATAGCAGAATAATGTCTGTGTGACAGACTGACAAAATAAGAGACAGAAAAAGCAATTAAAATCTATCATAATTTTTCCTACTTTTTAGTAATTTGAGACTATTAACATAGATGTGCATAGCCCTACACACTTCCTTAGGCCCTAGGCATCATTGTACTATAACTTAGTGCTCTAATTTCTGTTTAGTATGACTCTTAGCCATCAGATACAGATTAAATTATGTTCAATATAACATGTTAATGAAAATAAGAAAAACATGTTTTAGTTTTTTATCCAAAATGTTTCAAATATAATTTGTTACTTAAAAAGACAAGCAATAAATTATTTAGAAAGCATAGTTACCTGAAATGTCTAGTCCTAGAAAGGTTCTGGATGGCATAGATTTTGCTTTATATAATATGATCTCATTTTCTGATTGTTGAACAAATGTAGGCCTTCAGTCAAGTACCTTGGAACAGGCACTGTGTTAAACTTCTTTTTAACTCATGGTATTTTTCAGCCCTGCACAGAAATTCTCATGTAATTCAGAGTTTGATATGTTGATGGTCATACTGAAACTACTAATTTCCAGGAAAGCGAATTCTATATGAGAAGACAGTAAGATTTGGGTTAGAAGTGAATTCTATCAACTAAAGGGCAAAAAGACCTGAGAAAAGGAAATGTTACAAGAAAACATCATATATTAACTTAAAACTATGTTGAATTATGAGCTAAATACTGGTATATGTGAACGATGTAAAGTGAAATGCATTCCTGAGGGTTCAGAAGCACAAAGAAACTAAATCAAAGGTTAGGATCGAGGAATAGATTGTGTCATGGTTTAGGAGAATTCTATACCTAATTTCTTAAGCATAAGAGTGAGTAAGAAAAGAAGCCAAGGAGGCTTACTGGAGAAATCGGAAAATTTATAGACAGTAGCAATAAATGTGGCTATAAATTAGTTTTTACTCTACCTTTTGGGGTGGTGAGGGGAGACTATCTAGAAATAGCTGCAGTTTGCCAAATATATGAACTATTTTTTGAAATAAGAAATGGAGAATGAAAACTTTTGAAAAATGGACCCCACTTTGGGGACAATAAGAAGTTCTTCCAATGTCAGAAGATATGACAACATATTCATTGTTTTTTAAGAAAGATTCCTAATATTTATGTCAGGAATTCAGACTTAAAAAAAAAAGTGATTAATATAACCATTCCATTAAAATGGTCCTTCATT